CCATAGGTTCTAAGATCACTTTGTATTTTCTGAGTTACAGTATTAATTTAGGTTCTAATCAAGTATATTTTAGATAATTATTGACATATTCCGCCGCTGATTTTTCATAGAAAACAAATTTAAAAATGTCACACTTTCACTGTGTTTTATAGTGGACACTCAAAGTTATGGCAAACTATACAGTTCCACAAACATTAAAACAAATAACGCGTCGGCGGTATAGTAATCAATATTAGCCTTCTTTTAAACACCGTATAACACCTCAGATTCTCCACTAATTCCACAGACAAATCTTTTATTTCTTAAACATTATCCATATTGAGAATTAAGTTCATTTTGTGGACCTTGAACTCAAGCTGAAGTTCCAATCTTGGGAGTTGTTTCCAGTATGGCCCTATTTTGTGGCTCTTACATCAACAAAGTTTTCTTATTTAATTTTTAGGAATTTTTAGTGTCGTTAGTCAGCTCCATGTCTGTCATTCCTGAATAATTAACTGAGATTATTTGTTTGATCTACCTTGATTCCCAGCTGCATGTAGCCCCCCTTCCTCCCACTTCCACCCTTTACTGTCCCTCTCCCCTTCACCCCTTACTGTCTCCCCCTACTCACCTTCACCCCTTACTGTCTCTCTCCCCTTCACCCCTTACTGTCTCCCCCTCACCCCTTACTGTCTCCCCATCTTCATCACTCTCTCCCCTTCACCTCCACCCCTTTACTGTCCCTCTCCCTTCACCCCTTACCCCTCTCCCTTCACCCCTTACTGTCTCCCCACTCACCTTCACCTTACTGCCTCTTCACCTTACTGTCTCCCCTTACTGTCTCCCCTCATCTTCACCCCTTACTGTCTCTCCCCACCTCCACCCACCTGTCACTTTTACCTTACTGCCCTCTCCCTTTACTGTCTCCTTAAACCTTCTGTCTCCCCTTCACCCCTTACTGTCTCCCCTCACCCCTTACTGTCTCCCCTCACCCCCTTCACCCCTTACTGTCTCCCCCTCACTTCACCCCTTACTGTCTCTCCCCTTCACCTCCTCACCCCCTCTCCCCCTTCACCCCCCCTTACTGTCTCCCCTCACCCTTCTCCCTCCCTACTGTCCCTCCCCCTCACCTCCACCCCTTACTGTCCCCTCCTTCACCACCTCCACCCCTTACTGTCCCTCTCCCCCCACCTTACTGTCCCTCTCCCTCACCTCACCCCTTACTACCTTCACCTCTTCACCTCTTACTGTCACCCCACTGTCCCTCTTCTCCCACTGTCTCCCCTCCCCTTCACCCCTTACTGTCCCTCTCTCACCTCCACCCCCACTGTCCCTCTCCCTCCCCTCACCCCTTACTGTCCTCCATCACCCTTACTGTCCCTCTCACCCGTCACCTCTTACTGTTCCTCCCCCTTCACCCCTTGTTCCTCTCCCTTCACCCCTTACTGTTCAGCTATCCTCTCCCTCACCTCCACCCCTACTCTCTCTCCCTCATCTCCATCCCTTAATGTCCCTTCCCTCCTTACATCCCCTTACTGTCCCTCCCTCATCTCCAGACATCCCATACTATCCCTCTCCGTCACCTCCATCCCTTTATCTCCCTCTCCTCTTGCCGTCACACACCTTCCCCCCTCAGGCTGTATACATCAACTAATCAAGAGTAATTAATAAACGTAACTACCAATATCTACGTTATCATTGTGTATCACCGCAGGGGATTGCTTTATATATAGAGTCTTGGTGATGTACTTCTTTGGATAAACTACTTGTGTTTTTCTGAGCTTTGTCAATTTTGTCTATTTTGTTATTATTATCACAGTTGAGGTTGTTAATTGTTGTAACCCTACTGGATATATGGATAATTATGATGGCTTTGTTAGGTTGTCCTTTGTTGAATCGACTTGCTATTAACCTTTGTGTACGTGCACTGTCTATATACCCATTGATTCGATGTAAACTTGTACGTCGGTATTAGTACTTTTACTTTTTACTTTTATCCTCTTCACCGCTTGGGCGATCGGTCACGTCTCTGTTACACACTGTTGGCAAGTACAGCTGCTCCCCGACTTATGACGGGGTTAGGTACCCAAATCCAGGTTGTAAGTCGAAAATGCTTAAATAATACATAGAAAATCTAAAATGGGTGTCTCTTTTTATTTTCAGCACCACAAAACTCTCACTTTTAAGCTTGCCAGCCATTTTAAAGTGAATTACAAACGAAAATTTTGTCAGTACACAGCGCAATCACTGATGTTGGGACTCGAAAATACGTAATTTGACAAAATTTTGGTACGATTGAGGCGGTTGTATGTCCGGGTGGTCGTAAGTCGGGGAGTAGCTGTACTGGGCATGCACTGGCTCCTGAATGTATCTGAACCTGCTCCAGTGCTTGTCAAGTCTGGTCTTGGAAGAGCTCACACTTGGTGCCGATACAACGCACTCTGGCAGATTGTTCCAGGAGTTCACAACTCTCACTCTGAAAAGGTTACCCCTCACAGTTTTCTGGGCTTGCGACTTCTTCAACCTTGAGCTGTGACCCCTTGTGGGGCGAGCGTCTGCCAGCTCCAGGTAAGGGCACTCGACTAAGTAGTGCCATTTGAGATGTTTATACACCTCAATTAGGTCACCCCTTGCCCGTCTGTAGTATAAGCTGGGCAATTTCTGGCGCTCTAATCTCTCAGGGTAGTTGAGGTGCCGTAATGCAGGCACCTGTCTGGTGGCCCTCCTTTGGACATTTTCAGTCAGCTGACAGTCCCTAGCATATCTTGGGAACCAGACTGGGTGACAGTACTCCAGACAGGAAGCATTTCACTCTTGAAGATCGTTACGAGGGACGGACCGTCTAGATATCTGAACGACCTTCTTATAAGACCTAATAATTTAGTTGCCTGATTCACCTTCTTTTCGCAATGGCCCGAGAACTTAAGCCCATAGTCAGTATACACACCTAGGCCCTTTTCACATCGTCTCAATTAATGCAGTTTCTTCGTCCCGTTGGGACATATGATGCGCCTCCTTACCGTTGGTATGTCCCAGGTGCATCCTCTTACACTTCGTGACATTAAATCTTAGCAGCCATTTCTTTGACTATTTTTGAAGCTCAGAGATGCTTCTGCAGCTCTTAACAGTTTGCTTGGTTCTTAATTTCCCCAAATAACTTTGCGTCACCTGCTAACATTTGTATGAAGGCATGTACACTCGCACCAAAAAGCATCAGTGCAGGGTGAGATCGACGACTTCTGAAACGATACTTATACACTGTGATATGTCGGGAAAGTTGGTAAGTGTATCCTCATACCCCCCCCCTCCACTAGGTGTTGCCATATGGCTGACAATCAGTGTGTTTGTTTCCTCTTTTCGGATTGTTGCTTTGTGTCGACTGAATGATGAGCGAGGGTTCGGTCTCGGTGAACGTGGGTGTAAAACAGAGGCAATATAAAGCAGTAGAGATCTACACATGCCTGACGACATGGAAACCTCAGAGGGAACACGAGGAGCTATTATTGCCCTTCATAACGAAGGGTTCGGCGTCACAGATATTAGCCGGCGGGTTGGTGTCCACAGGAACACCGCTGCACGATGGATTCGGCGATACCTCGAAACTGGTGCTACAGACGACAGGTCTCGGAGCCGCGTGGACGGCGGCTCCGAGACCCTTTCAGTTTAATTTTCAGCCTTTCATGGGGTAAACTGTTGAAAGCCTTAGCAAAATCTAGGTATATATTGTTGATTACCACCCTGTTCCAGAATTTTGGTCCAAATATCCAGTACCTTGAGTATTTATGTTAGGCTGGAGTGCCCCGGCATAAAACCATGTTGACAATCCTTTACAAGGTTGTTTCTTAGTAGATGTTCCATCATGGCATATCTTATAATGGTCTCAAATACTTTACATAGTATGCTGGTCAGGCTCACTGGTCCATAGTTATTTGTGGAGTGATGATCGCCCTTCTTAAAGATAGGACTCACATAAGCCATTTTCCAATCACTGGGGATCTTTTCCTCATCAAGGCATTTACAGAACAGGATCTTCAAGGGCTCAACAAGCTCGTTGCACAACTCTCTTTGCACTCTGGGATGCATCATGTCAGGGCCGGGACTCTTATGAACCTTTAGCTTTGACAATTTATTTCTTATACTTTCTTCTGTGAACACAATGTGGGTCAGTGCTGTGTCGAACCGTCTGTCCTCAAACGCAGGAAGATTAATCGCATCCTCTCTTGCGAACACCGGGGAAAAGAAACTGTTCAATGCTTCAGCTTTGTCCTGGTTAGAATCTGCGTAACTACCATCTTCAAGCCTCAGGTCTGATACTCCTACTTGCGTTATTAATTTCGACTTTGCATAGCGATAAAATGCCTTTGGGTTTGACTTGACGTTGCTTGCAACCAGCCTCTGGAACTCCTAACTTTGCTTGGTTCCTGGCTCTTGCATACATCCTCCTGTCCTGCTCATCGTTTGACCTAACCCACGCCTTGAATTTTTGGGTTTCTTCTTAACTTTGTCAAATGCTGCATGGTTATATGTAAGGGTCTCCTCGTATTCCTAGCCTAACCAATAGTTTTATAGTACTGTATAGGGAATACTTGTAATTGTTAAGTACTGTAATGAGATAACAGTCTTTAAGGGGCTGATTTCAAAAACCTCTGTTGCAACTCATGGACAAGTGTCCTGGAAGATGCATGGTAATTTTCGAGGTATATTTTTGTCATAAAAAGTGCATCTTTTAGGCCGAAAATTACGGTACTGTATGGTTGTGTTATATGCCATGGAAAGGCAGTTAATTGACTTTAAGGAACCTCTTTGTATTGCAGTACATGACTCAAGTGGATCAGATTTTGTGTATCATTAAAATAAGACATGTACTGTATAATAGTATTGTGTAGCTTTCAACAGATTACAAACACATTTTTTCCAATTTTGGGAGGTATACATTATTTATTTTTATCATTGAATTTGTATTTGTATAACCAAGGATCTTTTTTTAAGAATATTGCACTGATGCTCGTTTTCTCTTTCAGAGCTCGTGTGGTGTGTCCAATTATTGATGTTATCTCCGATGAATCGTTTGAATATGTAACAGCTTCTGACATGACTTGGGGAGGCTTCAACTGGAAACTAAATTTCAGATGGTAGGATGTGTAATACTTTTGTTTCGTTCCTGTGTATATATAAGCGATATTTGTTTATATACAGTACAGTATTAATGAAGAATTTAAGGAGAACAAAAATAGCTCATATTTTATGTTGTTTACCCATTAGTGTTATTATTTATATTACTGTATACACAAGTGAATAGGCTACAAAACTTGATTACTACTGTATACATGAAATTAGATTTGATTGATTATTTTATTTTTACTTTTTTGTTTCCAATTGATTATTTCTGCAACTACAGCCACATGACATTTTTTTATTTTATGTACAGTATGTGAATAATTTGTACCATGGAGATTTGTATAGAAATTTTACTTTCCATAGATTTCTGTAAGTCAATTTTTAGGACAATAGATGTGAAATGAACTAATGGGTACTACATAAGTAGGTGTACCGGTATTTTGATTACACATGAGGACACCTTGGTACAGTACAGTAGTTCAGGTGACCATTGTTGTCCATGAATTTGGTTTAGTATATATCTCAGCCACTCTTAGAAAACACAAATGTGAGAAAAAGGTAAAATCCTTAAAAAGTGTTTACCGGTACTTTCCTTGGGTCCCCTTTCATTAATGGGGGTTGCACCATTCTTATTGCAGACTTCCGTATGGTAATATATTTGTGTTGAAAGAATTTTTTTCTTTTTTAATTTTCTTTAAGGTTAAGTCTTGATATAATTGTTAAAATTCTTAATTTTTTTATCACTAGGTATCGAGTTCCTCAGCGGGAAATGGAGAGGCGAGGTGGGGATAGAACCCAGCCACTTCGAACACCTACCATGGCGGGAGGATTGTTTGCCATTGATAAGGAATATTTTGAAAAGATTGGTCGATATGATGAAGGAATGGATATATGGGGAGGAGAAAATTTGGAAATGTCATTTAGGGTAAGTTTGTACAGAACTGCTAGAGTACAAGTTACAGTACTGAGATAACCTTTTTTATAAGTTAAATTTTCCCAGACAAACTTAGTCTAACTGAATCTCTTGTTCTGATTGTTTTAATATTTTTCTTTGCTATAGCATGCTTTACCTTAAAAGTGGAAAACAAAAAATAATTTGAATGTATGTTACACAGTTGTGTTCCCAAGGTACAGTTTGGGATATGCAGTACTGCATACAGTATTATGTATGAATACTTCTTTTTTGTAATTATAAGGCTGAGAGCAAACATCAAGTTGCAGGAGATGAAATATGCAATCTAATTTCTGAGGTGGGTATGTTCAGTAGTGGCTGTAGGCGGTCACACTGTCTTGCTCGTGTACACCCAAGAAAAAGCTAATTGTGTTTGCCTGAGAGACTAAACCCCCTACTTAGTGGGAGACAGGGCAATCAGGTATTAGTTTTAGTTAATTGTCATCTTTAGTTTTTATATTTCTCATTGCAACTTAATATTTTCTAAGAGCCATGGTAAATATTATAATGTTTATTGTTAAAATATGGCGCAGAATGTATCTCTACCTTCATACAAGCAGTACAGTAATTTACAATTGAAAATATTTTTAAAGAAAAAATAGAGAATTGTACATATTTAAAAATGGTTGATTTAGTTTTGCTCAATGTTGACTACTTTACATAGATTTTTTTGCAATGATATAAAACATAGATGTACAATATCACATTGAAATACATGAATGTATTAGCATTAAAATGTGAAGGTAAAAAACACATAGGAATTAGAATGGTGCAAAAGAATTTAGATGGTGAAGCAGTTTGCTGACATCGGTGGTGTTCAGATCTGGCAGTGTGGAGGCACGCTAGAGATCATCCCGTGCTCACATGTGGGTCATGTGTTCCGCGACAAGTCACCTTACTCCTTCCCTGGGGGAGTTGTCAACGTGGTCATGAAGAATTCGGCCCGTGTGGCCGAAGTTTGGATGGACGAGTGGCGAGACTTTTTCTTTGAAATGAATCCAGGTACCCTCCCATCCAACCCCCTAGAACCTCTTTCCCTAGACCCCTGCCATCCCATATCCACTAAGTCCACAACCCGACCTACCTCACAGGTTGATGATGACCCTGAGTGATTCACCTCGCACCAAGCAAGACCCCATAAAAGGGTCTCCAATAACACTTTCTTGCAGGGTTGCATTGAAGACATTCTACCCATGCCTATTGGCTGCTAACCCATAACAGACAGCATCCTCTCTATCTCTCTCACTCTTTGTATAATCTTGATAGTAGTTAATAGTAAGAGCTATAACCATTTAACAAATAGGTTTTTAGTTGGTTTAATTTGTATTTTGTGTCTACTTTCATATGATTTCCTTTGTAAAAAAAAATTTGGTCCAATTTGAATTCTCTTCTGGTAGAGATGTATTGCTGCTGGTAGTGAGTAAAAATTTATGTGTTGGTATTTATGATTCACATTTTCATTGGAATATGAAAGCAGACACAACAGGTGCAATGTTTACAGGGAATTGGTTGAGAAGAATGAAAAAAAAACGTGAAATATTACAATATTTTGGATTGTCACCAACTATGGGAATAAATGCATAAACTCTTGCAAATTGATATATCCAAAATATTGTAGCAGTAGTTCCAGACATACTAACAAATTGAAAACGCATTATCTAATGTATATAAATGCATCTCCTACTAACAATATTTGATATCCTTGCAGATCTAGTCTTAGAGGTTAATGGATAAACATATTAATGGGCTGTTGCTGGATGAGCATGCCATGACCTCTATTATCAAAAGTAATACTGTATTGTGTACATAATTAATTTAGTACTTTGACTTCATAATCAAGATAACTTTTAATTACAAGTTTTTACAGAACCTGTACAAGTGTACGTGGTAATGAGAAATACTAAATATACATTTTCAATGGCATGTAACCAAATTATGTTTCCACAGTGTTTGATAATAGAGATCAGAATACCTGAAAGCAACAGCCATAATTTAAAGCACTTAAACTGTGTACATTGGTGAAGTGTTAAAACATGAAGTAAGGCAGCTTGGGGAGGTGATGGACTACTGAGTACAAGCTTAGCCAAAGCCTGGGGTCTCTAGGCACTTGGGTGTGTGGTACAGTATATGGATTCCCACCAATCACAATCTAGCAACTTCCCCCAGCACTGCTTGGCTCATGTGAGGCTGAATCATCATTCTACAGGTATGGATGTGTGGGGGAACGCTAGAGATCTCCACTTGCTCCCATGTTGGTCACGTGTTCCGCAAGTCCACCCCTTACACGTTCCCAGGGGGTACTTCCAAAATTGTAAACAAAAACAACGCTCGTCTCGCCGAGGTGTGGCTGGACGACTGGAAAGAGTTTTATTACAGCATTAACCCAGGTCAGGCTGCACGCATGCCTTCCACTCCAGCCACTTGCACTTGTTTCAACCTTTTTATTAGCACCATTACCACCCCCCCCCCACCACCGGCACCATTTCCTACTTGCTAGCACCATCACCCACCCACTGGTACCACAGCTCACCAGCAGTACCAGCACCACTGTCACCATGACCACCTCACCACCATCGCCAGTACTTAATGCAAATTAGGACACCTTTCCCAAGTTACTAAAATTAACGTTTCATTGATCTTATTAATACATGACACATAATTTTAAGATACCTCTTCAATTTTTTTTTTTAATATCTTGTTCAGTCTTAACATGTTTTGTCTTCTTAACACTTGCAAAAAACCTTTCGATCAGTTACCACTGTCTAGCTAAAGTCTATGATAACTTACTGTGATCACTATGTTGTACAAACACACAACACCCAGAAAGATGTGGAGGCTTGTGAAATGGGTCTCCACCTGCAGTTTGTGTGTCAGAGGAGGTTAGAGGTATGAATTTTGTGTTTTTGTGCTTTGGTTTGTCTATTTTATTTTTATATAATGTCAGTAGTGTAGAGTGAATGTTAGAATCAATAAAAATGTGAATGGAGATACAGTACTGAGGATCTGCCAAAATAACCCCAAGAGTTGCATTAAGTAGTGTTAGGCTTGTGCAAGATAGGAAATTATGCAACTTCAAGAAATAAATGTACAGTAGAATTTTTTTTACCAAATGGTAAAACAGCATTTTCAAGTCCTTTAAGCCCATTATAAAGTACTAGAAAATAAGGGTACAGTATTTAGAATCCATTAAAGGCAAGGTAAAGATAAGCTTAAGTAAAAGAGCATACTACCTGTAGTACTGTACATAAATTTACATTCATAAATATGCTTAACTACCTACAATAATTAAACAATATATATTTACTGTATTGTTAAATGGGCTCCAGTTTGTACTCCTGGGTTGATGCTGTAGAATATCATCATCGGGGGTAAATATACAGTAGAGGATAGTATAAACTACTCATGTGTGAAGCTAAAATGAAGGCAGGTTAATCAGTATTGTACTTTTAGGTATTTTACACACAAATGCTGTGAAGGTCAGAACTAGTCACTGTATCTCACCTGTACAGAGAATACAGTACCTGTAGTGACTAAAACAGACACCTGCTTCACCAATCCTCCGGAACTGCTCAAATACCATTTACTGTACCTGGTCAGAGTTATAACCCACACAACTACAGATAATTCTGCTAATAATATCTCTGCGAGTTATCAACTTTTTATCGTATTTGAAAACTAAAATTAGTCTTCTCCCCACCAGTATCAATATACTGTACTGTACAGTAGTGTAATAATGATCTCGGAGCTTGATATTTTACCTGTTTTCTTTATTTTAATTTTATCGCAGTGAATATTTGACAGTACTATAGCTGGGATTTTAGAAATACTATACAGATACCTTACTGACATATATTCTGTTCAACATGTGTGTTATAAAGTGGAGCAGCTGAGCGAAATAATGGCTTAGAAGGGTGGATTGTGTGCCCTTCTGATCTGAAAGCCCTTAATTATTTTTATATGACATATGGTACATTTTATATATGGGTACATGAACATAAATTCAAGCAAAAATATGGGAGATGTAGATTAAATGAAGAGTAAAGGAACATTATACAGTACAGTAGTTAAAAAAAAAAGTCCGAGTTTGCAGCACTACTGTACTGTACCTGTATTTGTTGATTGTCAATTTGATGGGTGGACACTTTGTTAGGTACACCCTTGATGAGCATTTTTCTAACAAGTAGATAATTGGGATACACAATTACAGTCAACCCTCGCTTTACGAGGTCCCACATTCCGCGTTTCCATGTTTACGCGGTACCCTGCCGAAACAGGAATGCTCACATTCCGCGGTGCGTGTACCCCTTTACGCGGAGAGTGGCTGGCGAGCCGCACCATTTTTGGATTCAAACCTCCTGCCATCCGCCATGTTGTGTAAGCTGCGCAAGCATGGTGCGCACAAGGTCGCCCAGTCATCAAAACATTACCGAGTTCTTCACCCGCCACCCACCACAGCCGGCCCAAGTCAGTGATAGTGATAATTATAGTGAAGATATGGACTTATATGGACTTTGAGGGGTTTGACAAAGAGGCCCTGCAAGCCTCTATGGTGAATAGTGATACAATTGATACAAGTGATACAGGTGAGGGCCAATAATATGCCCTCTGCCTCGGAACCAACCGCCCATCCCCGTGTGCCCAGCCATCTTTCCTACTAATGTAAGTGTTAGAAAACCTAATATTATTGATATTTCTCTTAATTATTAATTGTTTGTGCATACCATCATCAAGTTAAGATAATATTTTTACTACAGCATAGTTGTGTGACGTCAAAAAGTGGAGTTTGGGGGTCGGCCCGGACTCTATTTCAATTAATCCCATATGTTATGTTATTCACTTTCCGCGGCACCCTGTGGGTTACCGTACATTAACCGCGTAAAGTGAGGGTTGACTGTATAATTAGTGAAATCTGTCATTAATACAAAGTGAAATTTTATGAATCTATTTGAATCATAAATTGAAATTAATGGTATAGCTTCATAAATGAATTTTTTAAATAATACAGTACAGTACAGTACAGGTATCCATTGCTATATTAACATTCACTCTACAAATATTCGCTTATACAGTATACTGTATAAATATTCTGTTCTTACACCCCTTTGTTACTATACGAAAGCTATTCTCACTTTTATGAATATAGTCCCTTAAGGTAATACTACACCAAGTTTATATTTTATTTTTAATGTGTTATATTGTTGTTTGTGAACCAATTTAAATTTTTAGGTATAATACTGGGGTTTTCTTGTCATTGGAAACCGAACCTTATTGTTCCCTCTGTTATACTATTCGCGAATACGAATAAATACTTAACGAATGGTTTTCAAGGAACCTAACCCATTCGTATAGTGAGGGATATTTGTACATGAGATAATACTGTGCTTGATCAAAACACTAATTCAAATCTTAATAAACTCCTTTATATTTATATCAAGTGTAATCACTTCATGGGAATCAAAAAAGGAAAATTTAAGTTTAGTTAATACAGCTGTACAAATAATGAGCTAGGAACCAGCAGACACAGTAGATACAATGTAATAACTGTTTCTCTTCACATCACCTGATTGAGGAAAAGATGACGATTAGTTAGTTTGTTAGGCATGTATGCAACTCGGCCATTCAAACAAAAATACCTAACTGCAGCAGACCTAACCTAGTTATACCTACTAAAAGAGACTCTTGATTTCATGGCCATATATTCAAGTATTGACCCCAAGATAACAAAGATAGGATAAGGTTTGGTAATATTATAACTGGATTGATATATGCAGCCATGATTTTAAATTCTAATTAACTTTTTATAGGAGTCATTATATATCTCTGAACCATCCCTCCTAATACCAAAAAACAGAGTATCATTAGTTAAAGTGATTTTAGGATTTTGGGGTAAAACTTTGATGAGTCTTACAATATTCGACCCTGTCAGCCTTGCACACTGTACTAGGTAAAGAAAAGTATGATGGGTGACATTAGGTTGGTTTATATATTGGAAGGTTGGTCAGATCCATATAGTGAAGTGTACAATAATTTTTTGTTCTTCAAAAGCAGTGATACCAGGGGTTGAACTTTAATTGTTCTGAATGAAGTATCTTGTGGCATGAGATAAACTGAAGAAATTCATATGGTTAGAGTGATAAAATTTGTTGGCTGGTTCAGATTACCGAGTCAGGTCTTGATGGACTGTGAAAGAGAGATGGGGTATAACAAGCACACTTCTAAGTACAGTAGGTCTGTGGGCATTTTGTATTTCAATCTCATCTGTAACTGTTTATACGGTATGAAAGAAGGAATTTTTTCTATACGTTTAATATTGTAAAGCGGTTGTCTCCCAAGGTTTGGGGCAGATTGATTGTAACCGTAGGAAATCATGCGAGGTGGAACTCTGTTTAGTTTTGAGTCAGAGATTTACCATTGTTCCAGTTAGTGACATCTTAAATTTCTAGAGGCTTATTTTTCCTAAATGAAAACCTCAGTGCTAACTTTCTTGCTCTTATATCATTTGAATACTTCATAGATTTTTTATTTTATTTTGCTCTGCTTTGACTGTTATCACAACATATGACAGCAAAACTACAAAGTGTTCAGTACATATGTGTATTGCTTGGACTACTTGTAGACCAAAGGACTATAATTTCAGGACTTACTGATAGATGCCTCATGCTGCAACACTATGTACAGTACCTGTTATGATGTATTTTATGCATGGAAGACTCAGTTATGGTACAGTACTATACTTTTCTCTTTAAAGGGAATGTGAAAATAAAACCTACTATAGGTTAATGTAGAAAGTCAATTCAGTACGTAGTACCTGCTGCCTTCTGTGGATGACCATGTTAGATAATTATGTGCTCTTAGATCTCTTGTCAGTTATCATGGTTTTGAATTAGTGTTTTATTTTCAGTTCAGTTTGGCTTGCAGTGAGCTGATCATTGCTGGCTCAGCCATAAACTGTTGCACATAATGCCCATTCCTCATGTTTTACTGTATACAGTACAATGGGTTGTGGTAAGACAGGCACCAGGTAGTCATTCATTTATACCCAACATTATATCACTTGACTCATACCACATATGAAATATAATATGCTGTATAATCTTGTAATATTTAACATAAATGGAACACAATATCTTGGATCTAAAAAACTGTGGCCACTAACATAGGCATTGGCGGCAGGACATAAGGGATATGTACCCAACATTTCAGTGTCCCCATAAAAGAATCTAATTACTATAAGAAATGTTCCCCTAATGAGAAACATGTTTCAATGCCTGTAACTAAACCTGTGGAAAGTTGTAAGTGGTATAAGTATTTCACAGTGTAAATGTACAGCAGGTGGAGTTATTGTGACAGTGAACACAATACAAGTGTGATAAAGGTTACACATATTTTTGAAGATCAACTAGACCGTGAGAAGTAACTCATTAACAAAGGCAAAGTAGACAGCTTTTAGTTGTATGTAGTTGATATGCTGACACTGCACAGTTTTCAGTTGGATGATTATTTTTAAATCTGTTTTTGGCTTCCTTATATCTTGCTTACTTGCTTTCTTTCTTAAGTCCTTGTGTTGTCTTTAAAAGCTTTGAAAGATATTGAATGTACTGTATGCCATTAAATTTTATCATTTCTCCTTTAAAAACAACTTCATGTGAAAGTGATACCTATTTGCTGGTCTCGGCCCAACTAATGACTAGTTATCCCAGCATCAAAATGAAAACGGGAACATATTACTATGTATCTGCTGAGTTATATCCTAACCCCCCCCCCCCTCCCCCCTCTCATTGATTTTACATCTTTCAAACTGGACGTACTTAGTAATTTAGAGGATCTTCTTGTATGGTGTTAGAGTGAATAGGAAAGAAAGGCCCATAGCCATAATTTGACTCCCTACCTCAAGGACAGTGTACTAAAGGATGTGTGATCTGTTGGGCCCTATGTTGGAAGCTTCACTTCATTCAGCTGTGTTGGGGGATGTTTTGACCTGGACCTTATTATAATCTTTCTGCTTTATTGGTTTTTGTCACTTTACATTTGGCCGAAGGTGTACAGTATAATCACATTTAAACCAACTTCTCAAGCACTTAATAATTTTTATTTTATTTTAAAACTTAAATTAACAATGAACCTTTTTAATGGTAAATCTATCTCTTTTATATCCTAATTATTGGCTAAATATTAACTAAAAGATTTTCTTAATTGTTATTTAGATGACTTTGAGTACATTAAATTTCTAATTGTAATTTTGGATATCAATTATATCTTGCACATGGCAGACCATTACTTACTAGATGTCTTACTCAAAGTTTTTTGCTGGGAAAATGGTGGTGTTTAGGGCACAGGACCTTTTCTTTCTAATGGTCTGCTTTTAATTGTGTTGGAAGTCTCTTTATCTCTCCCTCGAGTTATTTTGTTATCCCCATGAAATTGAGGTTCCTGGGGGATTTTTAGGGTCAGCTATAGTAATTTTCTATTATGGTAATATCCCCTCACTGATCCCTCAAGCTCTTATCCCCACCAAACAGTGACTTGCTCCTGTTTTCTTTTAGTCTTTTAATTGTTTTATTGATACAAAAATTTTGATCTTGGTTTGGGGCGAGACAAATAGGTATTCGACACAAAGCTGATGTTTTAATAAGTAAAAAGGTATTTAGTTAATTCCTGGGAAATTGCTAATTAGTTTGCTAAAGGTCCATACTGTATTAGTGTTAAATGAGTAAGATAAGTGAGATGTATCATGTACAGGGATCATTATCATTAGTCACATCAGAAAGACTTACCTACAAGATCCTTATCCTCCCTTGTCCAAGCATAACATTTTCCCTTTTGTTGTTTTATTTTTAGAATTAATTTTGCTATATGATATGCCTTGACAGTTTAATTACAATACCATACTGTACAGTACCATATTTTATAATTATAGCTTTTGACTCTTATTACATATAGATGCATTAATACTGTACAGCATTAATTTTCAATTGACCAATTATATTAATAAAGTGAAAGTCATACTCCAACACATGAATAACTGAACTTGAAATAATAATTAGGTGCACGAAGCGTTGATTACGGCGATGTTAGCCCTCGGCGGAAGTTACGAGAAGACTTGAAGTGCAAAAGTTTCCGATGGTTCCTGGAAAACATCTACCCTGAGTCACAGATGCCTCTGGACTATTTTTACTTAGGAGAGGTATGTTGTTTGGTCTATATTTTTGTAGTACTGTACTGTACTGTACTTTAGTAATAATTCTGCATTCAAACTTCAGCTTAAAGATTTTCATCCAAGCAGACAGCAGTTCAATATGTTATTTATTACATCTGTATGTAGAAGTAATATTTTTCTTCTAAAACATCAGTAATAAAAGTTTTAATCTAGACTGACTACAATTCACCTGTACGTATTAGCATTGAAGTTGTTGATTGTGTTGAAATATAGCCATAAGTGTTTTCTGCTGTCTCTATGATATCTCTTTTCAGCTCAGAAATTAAGAAATATAATCACACTAAACCCTCAAAAATTTGTTACACTAGGGGCTTGGGCCTTGCCAAAATACTGAATTTGCTGAAATACTGAAGCCCAAATTTTCACGCCCATGATGCCAAAGTTCACCTCAGTATACTATATTGGCAAACTAAAAGATCAGCAAACCCCAATGATATACCTTAAAAATTTTAAAATCAGTTGATGAAAAAAAAAACACACATAACTAAAATACTGTAATTTAGCACCCCAATATTTTATCTAAAGTAATTGAATCGGCTAAAGCCTTCCTGTGTTCATTGCATAATTTTTTCAAACTTGTTTTCAAGCATCACAGGCATACACAGTTTCTTGGTGATGGTGGGTGTAGTTAAGGAACCAGCACAATGCTTGGAGACCCTTGTGAACAGATTTACGAAAGAATGGCACAAACACCCATGGATAAAGAGAGATCACATCACTTCCACTTCCATGGAGCAAAAGGCCTGTGAGATGATGCTGGCTTAGGGGATGTGAGAGGGAGGAGGGGGTGACCCAGCTGACTCCTGAGCCATGTCTGGCATGTGTGATTTGAGTATTTTATCAAGTCATTTTTGGATAAGAGAATTGCTTTCAGATATTGAAAAAAGAGTGTGAGAATAGAATTTTTGAATAATAAATTTTTGGATAGCAATCATTCGGATAACAAGGATACCTGCATTTGTGTTCAAGTTACCTATATTATCGTATTTTTCGGCATATAAGACGCACCCCCCCACCTCAATTTTAGCTGGGAGTATTTAGGAAAAAACTTTTGTTTGTTATTTCCTCCTGTAGCCATAGTTTTATTAAAACAATATACTGTGTATAGTACCAGTAAATGTGAGGAATAAATAAAAGATAATACCAATAAAAAAATAAAAAATACTGGATATTGCCAAACCAGTAAATAAAAGCCAAATGAACATTTAACACAGTTGCCATTTGCATGTACATCTGTACTCCCTGTTCACCATAGCAATGGCAATGCTACCTCCGCCAATTCCCAAGCAACTTTCCCTCCCACCACCAGCCCTCCTGATATCCTCCTGCTCCCCCACTAAGCCAGCTAACAAAGAAATGTATATTCCTTTTATGTGTTTGTCATTAGGACAATTATTTCTTTTACTTTTCTCACAGTTTGTATATAGGATGGTGTATGCATTTATATCAGTAAAAATAAATGAAGAAAGTTATGTAGAGCAACCCGAAAATACGAGTTGAAAAACAACAGCTTGGCTCAGTAGCCTGATGGTTACAGAGACGAGTTTAACCTGGCTACAATGCTGCCAGCGATGTTAACAGATATAAATGTGAAAAGAAAGTTATCTGTAAATCTTCATTTGTATCAGGTATTTGTAGATTAAAAAATAAATGTTGCAGGTATGGCATTAATAGATAGTAATGCTTGTAAGAGTTCAGAAATGGTAGTTACTGCTTAGTTACCTTTGAAGAGTTGGGTGTCTGCCGTACGGATGCTGATCGTCTCAGATTATCATCATCAGTACAGTACAGAGTAGTTGTAGATCGACCTTTTACATTTACAATCTTTATTTTTTTATTAATTAAAAATAATAATAAAGTTTAAGTAAGCAATAGCATTTTTTTTATTCTGGAGTTGGGCTAGGTAGAATTTAGCCTACTGGAGACAGCAATGGGGGGATTCATTAGCTTGGGGGTGACTGCAGCTTCACATATAGGATGCAGGATGGTTTTTGAGCCATTTTTCAGACAAAAAAGAGCATCTTATATGCCGTAAAATCTGGTAATGTTTCAACATGTGCGGGGTGATTTTTGGTAGATTCGTGCAAATTTCGCTAACTTTGGCCACATGCCAAAATTTATGTCAGGATCAGGATTTTGGGCAGTGCCAGAACTTGCTGAATTTAGTGTGAATTCTGAATTAATGAATGCCAAAATTAGTGAGGGTTTAGTGTACATTATTTTAATACCGTACTATACTGTGTACCGGTACTAGGATTTGTAAACAATAGAGGAAGGGCCTTAGACTGGATAACTGTACAGTAATGCATAATTTTTAATGTGAATAAATAATCCCTCATAAAGTCATTTGATTAATTGTGATCAGGTTATGAAAATGTGTTGCAATGGATTATTGTAAGTAGTTAAATTTTTTTGTAGGTTGATGCACTTTGCTAGAAATTTTGTAAAATGATGTAAACACAATTTTCAGATTATTTTCTTGGGGAAATGATTTAGGTATTGTAGTGTTTAATGTAAGTTTAACCCTTTGTATATAGGTTCCTGGCCCTTTATTTTTATTTTAGAGGCTTTATTGAAAAGTAAAATCTCAGATGTCATAATGATGAACTATTTGAGGTTAATAATTTTAGTTATCGTTACTCAACCATATTTGAACCCCCTATAGATTCGAAATGCAGAGACGCAGAGCTGCTTGGATACTTTAGGTCGCAAGAGTGGGGAGAACCTTGGCACCAGTTACTGCCATGGCCTCGGTGGCAACCAGGTCTGATTGTGGGAGAATTATCTTGTTTCCCTTATAATGCTCTCTGCACTTTTCAAGCCTTAACCTTTGCCTCATGTCTTATTACTGTAGATATTTGCATGTTTGCCTTTCAGATAATTATCATTAATATGTATCACTTCCTGGTGCTGTCTTTTAAACATCAGGGATAACACTGTTAAGTTCTTTAACATGGCACACTTTATTCTGATTGTTTTTTTTTTGCACTCTACTTTTCAAAGGTTTTGGAAATTGCATGAAATATGTTTTTGGTGCAATGCATGTCTGACTTTAAAAGGGGGGGGGGGGATTACCACCTTCCAGCACAAGGGTCCTCTCCCAGAGCATTTTAAAGGTCCGAGTTTGAATAGGCAACTCATTGTATGCCTTATGCCAACTGCTAGTACTTCTATAGTGTTTCTACTTTTCTTCAGTTAGATAAGGATCAGTTTCTACATTGACTGAATACAAAAATTATACATAAAACAGAATAAAATTGTACAGTATTTAAAAAAAAAAATTCATTGAGATTAATGTGAATTTCCAGCAACTTTTCAGTAAATGAATGTTCACAAGTAAGCATCAGATTCGAATTGTCACTGAATCTTATGCCGTACTGTATTACTATAAGAAAAGGTTGAAATTAAATCGTATCAACTACAGTATAAGAACTAGCAGTCAAGCAATTGGTAGTCAAAATATTTTTTATCGGGTACAGTGCCATAATTCTATTTGATGTTGTCACTAATAAAACTGTTTATTACCTTGGAGGCCATCATGAATTATCAAATTCAATTTCATGGTACAGGTTGTACCTCTCTTGTCCGGCAACCTCGTGACCTGACCGGTGCCGGACCATGGAAATTGCCGGACCATGGAAATTAACCCTTTTCCTGGATAGATAGTGACTTGTGCTTATGCTTGGAAGCACTAGCACCACTTTCTCTGCATCATGGTCTCTTTGAAGACATATTGAAGGGTTAAATGCCATATAGTAGCTTCTCAAATTTCGCGAGTTTTTAATTCTTAACGTATTTTATTGGAACACAAAAAAAAATAAATAAATAAAAATTTTGACGGCGGAAACTTGAATTTGACGGGGTCAGAGGGGGTGAAGCATTAGTTGTTATTAATTTGTTTTAATTGATTGTTATTGTATATAATATAAGGGATATCCCTTTATTGTCATACAGTGCTGAATGGCCTATTGGGTCCAGTGTTTGGTTTTGAGTCTAATTTCAATAAATCGATCAATCGATCCACTGATCCGGATTTGATTTTGAAATTTTTTTTTTTTAGAACCTGTTCCAAACACCGTAAGTCATTGATAAACCTGAACTCTCCCAGCTTGGAGAAACAAATGAGTGGAGAAAAATTACTGAAATATTGGAGGTTGTCTGCCAATTATGGGATGTATTATTGTATGGAGTTATGTCTTTGTCAGTCTGTGGTCACCTGTCCGTCCATTCATCAGTATAACCATCTTTTTGGCAGCCTCTGTACTGCAGTTGGTGAAGTACATAATTGTATTACCGATTTATGCCCGTCTTCTGTATGGTTCATTCCTGCTAATTTTCCCTATTGTACTGGCTTATACCTGTACTGTATAATTAGAGGTTGTGTCGTGCTCACACCAACAGATAAAGACCTCAGATGGTGATTTGTGCTTGGCTCGTGCCCATGCCTCTTTCTCTGTGCAATTAACAATGTGTCGGAAGCTGTCGGGTCAACAGGTCTGTATAAATTTTTAGTTACATTTGTGTTTAGTGGGAGTTGTATGGTGAATGGACTAGAGGTGGTATTGTGTTGCTTGTATTGGAGAAATGAGACAAAATACTTTTTAATGTGTTGATTTGTTTGTTAGTGTCATTATCTGAGAAAATTATTATTAGCCACTCGTCCCCATAGTGAAGGAGTTAGGAAGAAATTAAAACTATAAAGAAGGAGAATTTTGTCATTAGAAGCCCACATTATAAAGTTATTTATCTCAAAAAGATGAAATTAAAAAAAATAATGACTCCATGTTTTTCATGAATTCCTTTTTATAGTTATTAGTTTGCTAAACATTGTTCATGAAATATGCAGTGTAAAATATAAAAATAATTACAGAAAACAGTAATATTGTTTCATATTGCTGTACAGTATATATTTTAACATGAAAAAAATAATCATGAACTCATTGGTTTTGCAAGCAGTACTTGATGCTTTGTTATTGTGATACATATTGTTTGCACTGTTATTTCCATGTCTGGGCTTTCTTGCATGTAACCAGCTTGCTTTCTAGCACCTCTTGCCAACAATCTCTTATTAATTTTTCTTGTGCTATTTTTTATTTGAATATAAACAATTTAGAGTTTCCAAACAAGTTTGTTTTTAAAATATTTGTATATACTGTAGCTGTATTTTAATCTTTTTTGTCATTTTTCTGATTGAACTTTTCTTTTCTTTTCTTTTTAGGATGTTGAGTTTTGACAAAACAATATATTAAATAAGTAATGAACATTTATGTATTTTTGTATGAGAATACTGCAGTAAATAGTGATCCTAAATATTCATCATAGTTTTTTAGCTTAACTCAAAATTGCAGCCATTAACATAAAATTAATCCCACAGGTATTTGCATATACCAAGAGACAACAGATTATGTCCGATGATAACTGTCTAGATTCCTCCAACCCAAGTGGTCCTGTCAAGCTTGTGCGTTGTCATGGCATGGGTGGAAACCAGATGTGGACGTTTAACGACCAGGTACAGTGATGAAAATAGAATAAGAGTATTTTTAATTTTGTGTAGTGAAAGTGAGATGTTTGCCATAAGACTTCAAGGGAGGTACAGTAATAACAGGGGATACAGTACTCTTCTTTCAGCTAATTCAAGCCTGCATATGTCAAACTCTTTCACTGCCCATGTTTCCCTGCCATACAACATTACACTTCTCACACAAGTTGCATACATCTTTCGTTTCATGCGATGGGAAGGTCCTTTTGTTGTCAATATAGGCAGCAACTTCTTAAACTTTCTCCAGCTTCTTCTGACTTAGAACTGAGCTAGCTTCAGCACCACCCCCAGCACTGATCATGTCACCCAGGTAACAGAACTCATTGACACAATCCAAGGATATACTCGTATTCCCAATGTTGAGTTTCTCCAGCCTTGCTTAGGTCACATTATTACTTGTGTATGCAAGACACTAAAAGTTAGCAATATCCTGCAGCCTTTCATCTACTCATTACATATCTTTTCTACCCATCTTTCTGATTTACTGCACATTAAGTTTCTAACAACACCTTTCTTACAGACAGCACATGGCCATTTCCTCTTTCCTCCACGGGTCCTTCACTGTTGCCGCTAATCAATACTTTTGTTAGTGCCACGTTCACTCATGCCCTTTGACTATTCCACCCTTCCATTTCATAAACTTTGTCCACTGCCTCTTCAGTACTATCAGCTACATTATGCACACTAAATCATCAGCATACAACAACTCCTATGGCAGACCATTCCCAAAGTTCTATGATATTGCCTCCAGCACCATTATAAACAGAAGGGGGCTCAAGACAGACTCTTGACAATGTCCTTTCACCTCAAATTCTTCACTTTCTTTGCCATTAACTTTCACAGCATTTTTGAGCCTTCATATACTAATGCCATAACCACTTGAACAAGACACTCCTCAACCCATAGCTTTCTCATTACCCACTATACTACTTCTCTAAGTCTACAAATACGAAGTACAACTTTCTCTACTTCCCAAGATATATTTTGTATTTGCCTGGCCATAAATATTGCCTCTGTAGTTTCCCTACCTGGCATGAACCCAGGCTGCATTTCGTTAATGTCCACTCTCCCACATTTTTGACAGCGTCAGGTCCCTGTAGTTCCTGTTTTCAAGTGTATTACCTATACCTTTGTAAATATTCATAATCAAATTGGTCTGTCAATTGTGTGGAACAGTACATTCCATCATGATTGCATTAATCGATTTGGTCACACCGACATTGTGTGATGCTTTCAACATTTCTGCAACTATTCCAGTTATACATAAATTGTTCCTCACATATTAACAGCCATTTTATACACGCCCCATTATTCAGTTTTTCCTGTCTATCCTCCCGTTTGCCTTCTCACCTAATTTCAGTTCACGTTTGTAACTTGTTCCCAGTTTATTTTATTTCTCTAATTTTCAGCTAGTTCCCCAAGAAGTGCTTTGTCAACTAGATTATCTGAATTTGCACTCGTAAGCAGGTTAACATGACCACTCACACTTTCGTTGCCAGTTTCCTGTTGAGGACCAGATGTTTTACAGAACATGAGAGAATCCCTCAAACCCGGAACTCTCCGATAGCCGGAATTGAAATTTTCTCTGAAAACCGTTTCCAAAGTCGGAATTTTCCGGAAAATTCCGGCTTTGGGAACGATTTTCCGAGGGGCAAATTTTTCGGAAAATCCTGAGAAATTTTTCCCAGTACCCGAAAAATTCCGGGGATGGGGGAGTTTTTCTGGGTTTGAGAGATGAAAATTGGGCGCATTTTCTGGAAATTCTGAGAACAAATTTCCGTTGCCCGGAAAATTCTGGGGATGAGGGATTTTTTTTACAGCTTTGAGAGAGTCATCTCGTTACCTGGAAATCTCTCCTTCCCGGAAGTGCTCTGCACCAATTGTTCCAGCTAACGGAGATATCACTGTACTGGGAAAAGCTGTTGGTTAGTGAATCGACGGTTATCGAAGCAATTAATCCCATAAGGACATAGCAAATTCAGTGGGATAGAGACTGGCCACCCTCCAAAAACTGCCATCTACCCTTGATATATCTTTGTCATGCACACTGTCAAGCAAGAAGATAAAGCAGACATAAAGCAAGCATAATAAGCCTTAAATAAGCAATGTAAAGCATGAATTGAGACTGTTATTTACCTGTTTTGAGGATGGTACAAACAGTCCAGGGTGGCAAGTTCAAGTCTTTACCACTCTTTGCTTGTCCATCACGACTCTTATTATGCCTTATCATATCACATCAAGCTGCCCAGCACAAGAGGAACATCAGAGAGCAAAGATGGCGGGAATGAGTTAGGGCAGTGTGCAGAGCCCTCTCGTGGCAACAATATGCCCCTACCACTGCCCGCCAAATTCAAAACTGCTCTGCCATTCCTCTCCTGATCGTTGGATCTCTGGGGTATCAACGAAACTTGAGGGGTATTTCCCCTTTATGTAATCGTCGGTTATGCGAAGTGGTGGTACACCTGTACTGCAATCTAACACCAGCCTTCCCACAACACAATTTCATCATGCAACCAACATCATGCAACTGCACAGTACATCCAAGTGCTAAAATATTTTCTCTCTTAAAATTGTATGACAGCATTTCCTTCAGAACACTGTATACACACTTCTAATTCAATTATATTTTTTAATTTACTGCTTGGTGTGTAAAGGAAGCTGATACAGGTACTGTAGTTTGTTTAATCACCCCCATTGTTCCTCATGAGTTTGTTCTTCCTTGTCCAGTGTTAGTACAGGGGGAAACTGGAGTACCCGGAGAAAATCTAATATGTTTGGTAGGGTCATAATGGATAACAGCCTTCTCATATCTGTCTAGGACCAGGAATTAAACTCAGGACACAGTAGTGAGAGATATGTACATTACTGCACACCCTCACATTATATTACTTAACCAACAGTTACCACATGACCTTTGTACAACACACTAAAAACTTGTGAGGAAAGTCGAGACACGAGGGGGGCCGACTAGCCGAGAAAATGCATTTTTATGATTTGGTTGCATAAATGAACGAAAATATCACTTACTTCTTTACAGTGGCCTTACGAGTTTCGCAATTACTTTGTTCTGGGAACCCCTTGCAGAATTACTGAATCGTGGAAGTCATGATATACTGTATGTTAACATGTTAAAGGTACAGTACTTCTTCATTATGACGCCTGTGCCAAGGTTCTCTTTTTTGCCCTTTCGTCCCCTTCACTCCCCCAATTCAACCAGAAAGCAATGCTCTAATATTACTTGAAATAAAGAAAATATAATATCAAAGTATAAATTAAGAAAAATAATGTGTGGAAAGGAATTATGTGGAGGGAAGTACAGTAGGTAGGTATGACAGTTGAGGGTGGAATGACTCGGCAAAAATTTCCCCTCTAGGAGACTTCCTTCAGCCCTACCCTAGTAAATCAACACTATGTAATTTCACCATAATTCCCGCATTATATAGGTTCATTTGGTGCCTGGTTAATAAAACAATTTTAAAAAATCGCATACTCAACCCAGATAAGTTATTGTGTCGTATTAAGTTCCTGGTGATATGTTTACATAGGTGAACAACTGATCAGACAGCGTGCCAGGGAAGGAGCTGTTTATGTAATATAGAACTACTTTTTGTACAATATCTGTGTTACTGTATTTTTTATGTTTTTATGTACAGTACAATGTTTAGTGTTTTTTACAGTCTTGTTACCAAAATATATTTTATATAACAAAAAACAGTACTGTAATGTATTATACAATAATACTGTATTTAATCTATAATTTAAGCACAATTTAGACACAAAAACTTAAAAAGTAGAAGGTACAACACACATTTTATAAGTATGGGTAGCTGGAGACTCTGGAGGAAGGTGCGTGTATGTTGCGAGGCTGGGAATTTGGGGGCCCACGTGACACTCTTGAATTGCAAAACTCGAGCTGCGTGAAACTTGTGAGGCCACTGTATTAGTACAGTATTTTGTTGCGTTCCCCCTGCACTGCAGACTCCTGTTCACTTAACCATATTTTGTAGCATTAGCTGCAGATTGTTTGTGCAAAATTTTTTGTAAAATAAGCACAATACTTGTACTGTACTTAAATTTTTTACTCTACAACCAGGTGAGCGTCACTACATTTCTCATGAACCTTTTTATTTTCATCTTTAATTCATTTGCACTGCTCCATGATGTTCAGTGTGCCTTCACTACTGCCTGACTGAGGCAGTGTTATGGGATGGAGATTGGAGACAACACCAACATGTACAGGGACTTAATGTGTTCATTATTAATTCAGTAACACCCCACCACTTGCCCCCCCCCCCTCTGCTTGTGTTCTTAACACTACTCGGTATAAGTTTTTTATAGCAATGATGGAATTTATCATGTTAATAATTACAGTACAGGGTATAGGATTTTATAATTAAATACTTTGAGATGCTGTAGAGAAATTCTAGAGGGCTAGATTCCTGACCCCATATGTTTTGAACAAAACATTTATATGGAGGGCCACATACATTCAAATCTTGTAGCTTTGGTCAGTAGTAGTGAGTATATACTTGTGTACACATTAAAAAAAGTACTGCACAGATGAGGGAGAGTGGAATATGTGTGTTGGTCCTGTGTTATGGTGGTAGCCCTGCTGTCCTTGCCTGAGGGTGTCCTCACATATCTGCTGTTCACGACATATCCTGTCGTATATATAGTTGATGGTAAAACTGAATATGAACACATTAAGTCATGTATGGTTCATTATGGAAGTCAGCAGAAGACCCCCCCCCCTGCTTGATACTTTTTTACTGTGTGTACAGTAGATACTCTACAGTACAGAAAAAAAGTTTATTTAGTATCCAAAAATATCTAACATCCAACATTAATTGATCAGTTTGAGGAACTTGAAACTACAGGTATTCTCAATTTACATTTCAGGATGGATCAATTCGACATGTAAACTCTGGCCGATGCCTGCAGAAGCCAGATGCTCGGGATGTTACTCTGCCTGTTCTCAAGATGTGTGACGGATCAGTGAGTCAGCAGTGGATTATGAACGGGTCCTTTAAATGGCAGGCCAATTAATTTCCTACCGAGTGTTTGTTTTATTGAAGTGAATTGGTGTCATTATTTGATCCCTGAAATAATATGGAAAGAAGTGGTTTGTCGAATGTGCCCTCGTAACCAGAACTATGTGATGCTTGGTGTGGTTGGCATCTGTAGAGTTTAGCTCTAATATTTTTTTGGGTGATCCATGTGAAAATATAGATGGTAAATGTTCAGAAATTGTGAACTAAACATATTTCTCTCATGGTTGTGAATGACAGTTGATGCTACTTAATGCCCAGTGTAGGATGTCCCAATAAGCACTTCTACTACTGGCTACTACAACACAGATACCATCCATGATGAAACTGGCGAGGTTTTATCACTTGTACTTAATGTGAACTGTTAATGATGGCCAGAAAGGCATCCCCAGAATGTCATGCCTGTAGATATAAACTACTTTCTGTGTAAAGCAAGAAACTGTGGCTTTGTACAAACTGCAAAAGTCGTCTCCTCCGATGTTTCAGTGTACTGTTTATGTTAGGCATTATATGATCCTGACAAACAGCATTTGAAAATCATGTACATATTAATGGACTATGTTTTGAGCTATAGATAAAAATGTTTCAATTCATATACAATACCAGTACAGTAGCTTTGATGAGAGTAAAAGAAAATTATCCGGGAAATTGTTTGAACTCTTAAAATGTTTGTCCGTGGAAAACAAAAAACCTATTAACAGACGTGATACACAAAGGAAAACATAAGAAGAGATGCCAACTGGGAGTCACTGTACTGTAGGTGAATTACATCTTTTTTTAGGTGGAATGGACTTAATCTACAGTAAATATATACTGTATGTATAGTGTAAATATGACATTATCCTGTAACTTCCAGAGTTATATCTTCCTGTATTATCTGTCCAGGTGAGAATGTGAAATCAGTGCCTTCTAAGAAAGCCAGAGAAGGTTTTTTTTATATGACGACGTCACACCTGGTATAGAGAAAGGGCCATGCTGCTACAGAAGTTACTGGTAATATACCATACTATCTGAGGAGAGAACTCAGCCAGTAGAAGATAAAGTGCTGTGAGGAGAGACCTTGTTCAGTGATAGAGCAACATAAAATGTTTATACTACTTTGTATTAATTACTTTAAAATTTTTAATTTATTTTACTTGTTGGGTATTGTAACTTGGATGTAAAATTTATAAAACTTGAAAAAATAAATGGTTAGGCAAAATCATAACTATCTGCTAGTAGGTGTAATGACACTAGATCAATGCTCTGCACTTGCTAACCAAAAGATGCTGGTGAAGTCTCATCCTACTTCCTAGAATGGTTGTTGCAATGTCATCCTGTGCACAATGCTTGTTGTAATCAAGGTTAAAGCATATTCTCTTCTCGGGATGTACCACCTTGCTATGCTGAAGTGATATAAAAGTGGTAGCTTTCTGCAGTTTTAAAAAAATAGTTTAGTAACATCATGGTTTCTGTATATTTTATTATAAAATAGAACATTTTATTAACCTTCATAAAATAGTGTGATGTTAGAAAAGAAACTTTGTTTGAATTACGTGTGGACACGACTCTCCTCAAAACAGCATTTAGTGTACAGTAGTGTCCATTTAATATTGTAAACATTTAGACCTATTTATTAATGCCATATGTACAAGACATGTTTGCCTTTGAAAATTTAATTAATAAAATGTCAGTAATTTATGACTCAAGGTTGTAATGCAGCAGCAGCCTCATAGTTATTATTATATCAAACTTATTTTTCTTGAAGTGGTGGAACCCAACTCCTTTAATTCTTACCATAGCAGACTCAACAAGGTGTCAGACAATAAAGACAGTGGTTGTTATTATGACTCAGTGCTTCAGACTAAAAGTACAGTATACAGGCAGTTAGTGTATTTTAAAGTTATTGAGAACAGTCTGTATAGGGGCCTGTAGCTTATATGGCATTTTAGGCAAATGTCTGATTACGTTTCCTGGTATATATGATAAGGTAAGGGTCTACTGTACCGGCATGGTCAAACTGTGATACCTGCACAAGACTTACCAGCGCATAAAAGTGTTATTGGTTATGTAGTTTATGATTGCCCATATGACTCCCCCAAAATGTAATAGTTACATTCAGAGTACAACAACAAAAGATACTTCATGAATAGGGAACTCCATTTCATTGTTTTGGAGAAAGCTTTATTAAGTATTCTAAAATGTAGAGAATAATATATCAGATAACATTCTTTGTGATGGCTGCTTGCATGGATTACACATTTCTTTCAAGGACAAAAAGGATGTATATCTCCACTCATGCTTCAGACAAGTTGAAAACCTCTACTTGGTTTCACTTTCGATGATATTGATTGGAGATGAATTAGAGCAGTTATGTTGTACTCTGAACTCAGAATACCGAGCAGTTTTCCATAAGTGTCAAAAAAATTTCCTGTTCATTTCTCAGGTGTAGTGAATGGATAACTTACCACTTCATATCAATGTGTCAATAAAATCAAGGTATGTGTTATATATATATATATTATGAATGATGATTGATATTAATGAAAATGTTATGATTTATTGATGGTTTGTATAAAAAATTAATACCATTATCTTCAACTGTTGAACTTTTTTAAGATTAATTTACAAAACAATTACAATACGTACTATTAATTTTGCCATTACTCACATTGTCATTACCTTTTGGTAATGATTGTTGCAGTTCTTTTGTCAATGTGTCAGGATAATGGTATCTTAACTTTTTACTGTATACTATTTTCAGTGGTGGAGGGATATTACTATTTATAGAATGGATTTAATTTAATTTTTTATTAATATTAAACAGTGGTGGTGGAAGCTTTTTGTATTCAGTTAGGTGTAGAACATCAAGTTTTGCAAACATTGTGTTAATACCAAGACCATTATTAAACCCGTAACAGAGGCTGTGAAGCTCATAAGAGTGATTTCATATACTGTAACTCATATTTCCATGATTCAAGTTAAATATAATCCAATAATTAATCCTTAAGAAAAAATAATTTGTTTTTAATGTGAATAAAATGGTCTTGTAGTAGTATACAATTTGTTCTTTTTTTTTTTTTTTTTTATATACAAGATTTTGTATATATTTATGTATATTGACTTATTTTAAGAAAGCTTATTTCCAATTTGAATTAAATTTTTACAAAGGCTCTCCACATAACATTTCTTTCCACTTGTATGCTTTTTGAATGAGTTAAAGTTGTCAAGATTTCTCAAGGTGCATTGTAATTTAAGGCTCAGCTTTACCCGTCTTAATCTTCTTCAATTCTCTTACCAATATAGCTAAGTTTCTCATTATTTTTGTCAGTATGTTAGATGCAAAGTAGTAGATAATATGACTCACTTGTGCCAAGTACTTAGAAATTAGGCCAAATCACCATACACTTGCCATGTTAACAAGGTTGTCAGCTTGCATTCTTTATAGAGGAAAAGGTATTTTTCAAAAAGTGGCTGAAAAAGTACTGCCGTATATCTCGGCCTATAAGGCGTCGGGGTGCATAAGACGGCCCCCCCAAATTTCCATTTAAAAAGTAGTTTTTGAGCTCTATTCGCTGTATAAGACCAGTACCCCAAATGTGACACTTACCCACTGACTCAGTAGTCCTCTACCAACCATCCTTGGTTTTTTAAAATAAGGCCAATTCACTTCAAGTAATGTCATCAAATGTTACCCGCTGGTGTAGTGTAAACACTAGTGACGTCACTGAAGCGTCTGCTATTTACCGGTAACTGGAACTAATGTCGGTGTCGAGTAAAATTTTTCCATTTACTTGAAATGGATTTACCGATTTATTTGTTTATTTATAATATACTGTAACATATTAAACACACTGCAAGTATTTTCTTTAATTTATATGCTTGCTTCACACGAGACGATCGGTGGTGGGAGTGTTACCTCGTCTCGGTGGTGGGACTGTGTTCCCACTGTTTACCGTACTTTTTTTTAGTAAGTTCATTTTTGTTAGATTTTTTACTAATAGTGTTATTTTATGTGGATAAAAATGTTACAATGGACTTAAAACTATAAAAAATCATCTAAGCATGCTTGAAAACATACATATCGACACCAAGATCACCCAGATTGACCAACTACATCAATTTCTATAAGAAAAATCAACTTTTGAAGGTCAATATGGCGGTCACCTTGAAAAATGGTCGCCATCTTGAATTTTTAAATGGCCAATCAGGCAGACTTGACTAGTAACCATTAGAGAATTACCATGCCAAATTTGGTGCTTGTACCACCATTTTCATGATTCTCTTGAAAAATTGCATTTAGCTGCCCCACTAATGTCACCACTCCCATCTCAACATGACACTCGTATACTGAAATATTGTATTTCATACTACATATGACTTTACAAAAAGAAATGTCCACGTCTGGTTAAATAACTCTTGTAGATATAATACCAGTTGAATAAACGAAACTAAAAAACTGGAGATTGTAATTACAGTGAAGCCTTGACAACTCCATTATGAAGTTAGGGATTAGATGACGCCAAATACAATCACCTTAATGCACTTTAAGAGAGAGGAGTCACCGTGCCAGGGCTTAATATTATCCTGGACCCTAGAGGTTGATGACGTATTCAGTGTCGGGCAGAAATACATCGATGTACACAGCACATGATCCCAATCAACTCCAGTATAGGTGTTAATAATGTAGAGGTGACCAGGTGTGTTGCACGTTGGTAGTGTTGGATGGTGATGCAGGAAAGAGGTAGTGTGTTGAGGGTGGTGTGTGGTTATGACTCACTCCCACAACCCCCCCACACCACTCACACATCCTCACAACTGTACCACAAAGCCCCCACACTACTCATACAGCATCCTCACAACACTACCACAACCCCCCCACACCACTCACACATCCTCACAACTGTACCACAAAGCCCCCACACTACTCATACAGCAGCCTCACAACACTACCACAACCCCCCCACACCACTCACACATCCTCACAACTGTACCACAAAGCCCCCACACTACTCATACAGCATCCTCACAACACTACCACAACCCCCCCACACCACTCACACATCCTCACAACACTACCACAACCCCCCCACACCACTCACACATCCTCACAACTGTACCACAAAGCCCCCACACTACTCATACCGCATCCTCCTAACACTACCACTGCACAACCCCCCCACACCACTCACACATCCTCACAACTGAACCACAAAGCCCCCACACTACTCATACCGCATCCTCCTAACACTACCACTGCACAACCCCCCCACACCACTCACACATCCTCACAACTGAACCACAAAGTCCCCACACTACTCATACCGCATCCTCCTAACACTACCACTGCACAACCCCCCCACACCACTCACACATCCTCACAACTGAACCACAAAGCCCCACACTCATACCATCCTCTAACACTACCACTGCACAACCCCCACACCACTTACAAATCCTCACACTACCACAACCCCCCACACCACTCACACATCCTCACAACTGAACCACAAAGCCCCCACACTACTCATACAGCATCCTCATAACACTACCACAACCCCCCCTACACCACTCACACATCCTCACACTACCACAACCTCCCACACCACTTACACATCCTCACAACTGTACCACAAAGCCCCCACACTACTCTTACAGCATCCTCACAACACTACCACAACCCCCCACACCACATACACATCCTCACAACACTACCACAACCCCCCACACCACTCACACATCCTCACAACACTACCATAATAAAATTAATTATTTCTAGTGTGGTCGACTTCCTACACAAAGACAGGCTATAAATAGCCATCTTATCTCAACCTCCTTCCTTCCCCCTACATCCCTCTGTTCTCAGAGAGGTCTTGGTAAATAACTTTTGTTTGTTTATTTTCATTGTTTGTCTAATTTATCATGTTGTATCAAAGTAATATTACTAAAAGTTTTAGGCAGCTACCAAATGGGGAGATTCTACTGCCTGGGAAGATATTGGAAGCACAATGTACAGTATTGTCTAATGGTAGACCCTACTTCCATATGGCATCACGAAAATTGTGACCAAGTCTTAGGTTGCTGATTTATCTTTCTGTCTCATTTACACACAATTGCAGAGTTTCAATTGTTTCTCTTCCTTTGACAACACAACATACATACAATATAATGTTTCTCACCTTTGATCTTTTTTCCATTTATTTATTGTTGGTTATTTAAAATAATGCCAATTCACTTCAAGTATTGGCATCAAATTATACCGGCTGGTGTACACTAGTGACTCACTTAAGCGGCAGTTATTTAATTGGAACTAATGTTGGTGTGAGTAAAATATTTCCATTTACTTAAAATAGATTTGCCGATTTATTTGTTTATTTATTTATTTATAATATACTGTAATACATTAAACACACTGCAAGTATTTTCTTTAATTTATATACTTGTTTCGCGAAAAAGGGAGGCTAGCATTATAACTGGTAGGTGATCATTAAGGACCAAACTCCGAATCCATGACTCCATGAAGTGACTTCTGTTCATCATTTATATCCTAAATTTACCACTGTCGGTAGTTTCAAGAATTAACGCAGTCATTTACTGAATATTCTTTGTAAAAAAATTAATTTTAAATTAATTATTTATAGGAGATAAGTATTATGATCAGTAAATATACAGATATGCATTACTGACCACCTCCGAACACAAGGACGGCTAAAAATAGCTACAGGCGGTCACAGTCAAGGTCACTTTCCCTGGTAGGACTTTGTGAGTGGTTTACCATGTTTCCATCACCACTCTTGACACGCAATATTTAAGAGGTAAGAATTTTATACTTGGTGATTAAGACGACCCCCTAACTTTGGGCAGATTTTTTTAATGTTCAAATTCCGTCTTATAAGCCGAGATATACGGTATGTATTTGAGGACAGAAGTATGGCACCTTGATTGATTGACCCATACATAAGACCAATGTAGGGTGTAAAATTTGGATAAATATGATTTTTGTTTTTCAAGTATTAAAATTTGGTTACCTAGACGACAATCAACAGTAAATGAGGTTACACAATAAAGCACACTTTACTAGCATGAAGGTGGCATCTGTCTTTTCCCAGTGGTATTCTCAGTATCTGATGAAACACTGGACATTTCTTTACATGTCCATTTTATTCATTTTTTGAAATGAAGAGATGCTTAAGATTTTGAGTCCTAATAATAATACCATTGTGATTGTTTAGTTGAAGGCTTCATGGAATGTGTATCTCATCTGCTAAAAATATAAATTTCTATTATTTATTTTATTTTTTTTATCTGGAGTTCTCTGTTCTGTGTAAAGCAGAAGAACTACTTTATTAAAGGTCATTGAGTAACTTGTGTCCAAGCTTCTGTACTCTTTAGCTTAGTTATTTAAGACTGTTAAAATATCCTACAATGGCAAGTTGTTTAAGATGAAGACATTCTGTGTTATAGTTAATTCTTTATTATTACTACATACATATATATGGGCTTCTCTATATTCAATTTCTGATACTATGTTTGCTGAATTTCAGCAATAGAGGCAGTCAGGAGCTGGATTTCCTGAAAGAGCATATTTTATAATTAGTGGATTGCCTTTGCCAAGCACATATAGGGGTGTTCCATTAAATTAGTATTGGTACATTTTGCAGTGAAGTGACTGGTAATCTGTACCTATTTCTGTCCCTGTAATTGTTCTTGAGTTATCATAAAATAGATTTATTCCACTTAGTCATGTATTCAAATTTGGACACAAGTTGCAGAACATTTCATAGGTAATTAAGACACTATACTCCAGGTTTTCTTCCATGGTGTCTGAGAGGCAGGATGGTTGGGATATGATTGAGTGTTGCATTTGGGTCATCCTTCATGAATTTATTATTAAAGTTTTTTTTTATTATTCTACACTACTGGCTTTTGTCTTTCAATTTGTTCTTGTAGTTTATACCTCAAACAGATCCCTGGAGGAGGTGAAGCTATAAGACAAGAGCAACTAGTGTCAAAACCTTGTGTAATATTGTCATTGTGAATATTGTCTTCATAATTTTTCTTTTGTAAGTTGATCAGTCTAAAAACACAAGTTCCATGAGGTAGATTTAAATTCTGGTGTCTCACTTTTGTCTTATTCTTAAAAAAAAAAATGGTGCTTTGAAAATTAAATATGTAGGCTCATAGATCTACTGATATAAAATGAGTACAGTAAGTGCTTATGCTAATTTCTGAGTTTTATTATTAAATCAAATGATTCCATTTATAGTTTAAGGTATGGATTATATGAATATACAATATATATATTTTTTTCGTATGTGACTGCATAGTTTGAAGTGGAAATCAAGAAACTCTTTTTCAGTCACTATTATACTTGATACTGTA